TATCATTTCCAGTATACTAGAATCAGATACAGCGCTATCACTGACAAAGATGTCCACTGGACACCAGTGAAATGATTAAGAGGAGCTTGAAATTCTGTCTAGAAAGTAATTAACATTTTACAATTAAAGGGTGTTTATATAGATAGACAGACAGACAAATGGTGTTGCTATGGGTTCACCAGTCTCTCCAATAGTCGCTGACCTTTTCATGAACAGATTCGAAGATAACATCTTTTCAAGCATACTCACTCCCAAAATATGGTTAAGATATAAGTAGATGATACATTTGTAGTGCTAAAACGAGATCTACACAGTTCATTCCTGGAGAAAATCAACTGCTGTCTATCTCCCAGAATTCTAATTAAATGCCCAGACATCGTCGAAGCATCTACATGAGAAGGCAACAGACATTTCAACCTGAGACCAAGCACTTCGGTCCAATCAATCGAATGACGGGAACATCTAAAATTCATTTAAATAATTAATATGACCCATTGAACACAAGAGGTGGGTGTGGGTGGCTCTCGTCGCCCAAGTGGTCTATTGGATAGCGCTTTGGCTGCTGGTGTTCGAAACTATGGGCACTGGGTTCGAGCCTTGGTGGTGGGAAAATCATCACTGACTCACTGACCGGGGAATGCAGGTACATCTAGCCAACTGACGAGTCGCAAATAGGACGAAGTGCGCGTTACCCTGGACGGGATTCTACTGCTAGTCACCATCCACCAATTAAATGCATAACTATAACTGAATTCTTTTAGCTGTATCCTCAAGATACTGAGTTATGAAACCAGACAATATCTGTGTGTGCTACTTGGTGGTTGGCCTTACCAGCTTCAGTAACCGGCCATTAGCCCAAGAGAAAAAGGACGATTGTGTGTGTGTGTTTTGTGCTGAAAGGTGAATGCTCGAAGCCCTATTTCCAACTCTGAATGAAGAAAGTGTATTAGAAAAAATCAAATACTCGGTGTAATCAACACCTATGGACCATTTTGACGTCTAATATATATAATTGATGAAACTAGAGACGAAAACATTTTAATCAGTGTGACCTGATAAAGGAGCCGGAGTGTGACTGATGAATAAGAAGTGCGATTATGTTAACATAAAATGAAATCGCTTCTAACGGATAAAGCGAAATTCCAGCAGCTTAACAACCCAACAGATCTAGACGGGAAAAGCTGAAAAGCAGCTAACTAACACACTTAAGGAGATGAGAAATAGTGGAGTAATCTCAGAGACAGACAGCCTACAACCGTCTCAAACCTACTGGAAGAAAAACTCCACGATTGTACAGTCTGCACAAAGTACATAAACCAGAAATTCCTATTCGCCCAGTCCTAGACATGTCTAATTCCACCTACCATGTTGGAGTGGCAAAATTGGCTAGGTGAACTCCTCCTCCTCCAACCGTTACACAAGATGGTAGTAAATCAGAGTGTTAAAGACGATTTTGAATTCATTGCTAACATAGATGATATCAATGTAAGTGGGAAGCAAATGCTATCCTTAGATGTCGCATCAATGTTTGCCAATGTACCACTTATGGAGACTGTGGAATTCATATGCCAACAGATACTAGAAAAAAAAAACAGTTTGACATCGGAATTCCAGTTATTAGTTTGAAAGAGTTGCTTTTAAGATATACTATGAATGTGTACACTTCACATTCAACAACCTTCATTACAAACAAATCGACGGTATTGCAATGGGTGGTTCTGCATTGGGGCCAATTTTGGCAGATTTCTTTCTTGCTAAGCTTGAAAATGGTCCACTGAAACAAGTAATAGATAAAACTGATTCTTATTTTCGTTATGTTGATGGTACGTTCATTATTATTCTTGATGTGAAAGCTGACAAGAATGAAATGTTAATGAAAAAAATTTAATGATGCACACACATCCACCGCTCATCTTCACTTGTGAAGAAGAACATGATGGTAGACGACATTTCCTTGACGTCTAATTGAGCAGAAGAGAGACTAGATGGTTCACTTAAGAGAGATGTCTATAGAAAACCTACACCCATACATTTTTTCAGTATTGTCCCAATCCGACACAAAAAATCAATTTGGTCAGATGCCGCCTCACGAATAGAGCAAGACATATCTGTACAGATGACTCCCTAGAAAAAATGAGCTAGGATACATCCAAAATACGCTGGTCCAAAATGGGTTATCCTAGTAGATGTGTAAGGAGACACATGAACATCAAGTACAACAAAAAGAAACTGACAACACAGTTAAAAAGAAACAACTCTTCATGAAATTGCAATTTAATGGGGACGTGGCTAGCGAAGTCTTACATCTGAGATTATCGAGAGCGATAAAACGGTCTTATAGTTCCGCCACCCTTTGTTTGTCATTTTCCAGCTGCCGACCAATTATGATTGCTCAAGTGAAAGACAGGGTACCTAGCTCTGCCACTTCAATGTGTATCTATAAATTTAGCTGCTCCTGTGTGGAGAGAGCTGGCTATATAAACGCGAACAACAACTAGACAGCTTAACAAACGCATTAATGAGCATCTTCATTCATGCTTCGGAAAAGGTCGAATAAAATCTATAAGAAGTTCTGTTTTGACTCATTCGATTGATTGATAGTGGTCATCAAGTGGACAAAAATAGTGCCTTGAAAGTCCTACAGTAGGTCAATCGTAGTACTCACTGGGGGAGGGTGGGGTGACGGGGGTTCGAGTCTCAGATGGGTGGGAAATGAGCTGTTCCTTCAATCTGATTGCAGATACACACCTTGCTGACTGACTATCTGACTGACTGACTGAGTGGTGAGTGCCAACTACCAGCAGCACGAAACCTAAATGTCTAGACAAGGCTGCCTTCTTCCTCTACCGCGGCCGATTCCCTACAACTATCATCATCAAGCATCATCAAAACACCTACACTATTTACCAAACTCACTTTTAATATTATTTATTATTATTAGCGTAAATCTGATGTCATAAGTAAAAAATAGGGCTTAATAGGGCAGTGTGTGTTTACATAGTGAACTTTCATATCACATTCGTGTTGATTTTGTTACTTCATGGGGGAGGGAGGTGTTGTATCCAGGTCAGATTCTGTTTTAGTCCATCATTCCTATTCAGTTCATACAATTTGGATTCCATTTGATATGAAGTACTGGCCTCTGATGATATTAGACGTTCTTTGTGATTTCTGAAATGCTTTTTCTGGATGACGATTTCAATATTGTCAAAATCAATTTTGCGGCCTGATTCTTTGGCTGATGATTTTTCAAGTTTTTCTAGTTCAACCGGATTTATTTCTCGGTGGTCGAACAGAAGACAGGTAGTTCAACGAAGAGTCTCTTTTCGGCGTCGGCGAATTCATTTTCATAGCTGTACGTAACTCTTCTTTAACAATCGTTTTTGACAACTCATCAATTTTGTTACACTACCCTCTTATATCAACACATCCAATTCTCATCTGAACTTACTAATTGTATTTTCGTTTGACAAATTTAATGTACACACAAACACACACACATACAAAACAACCATATACAATATTTGCGATTGTAGAGCGCTATTAAAATGAATTCACCGACGCCGAAAAGAGACTGCTCTTCGCTGAACTACTCTGTCTTCTGTCTATTGATAAACAAGTTGCTTTAGAAAAAATAAATCAATATAAGCGTAAAAATATTTGCACAAGTAAAAATAAACTCTCATTTAATCAGAGGAATGAAGCTAAATGTAGCTAAATGTGTAACTGGAACAAGGAAAGATCCACTTCACTTTTCACATTTAGAGCTAACAATGTATCTGATTTTCCCAAGCTTATACATTTCATCTTCACATCAAGCGGTTCGAAGCATTTATTATTATTGTTATTATTTGTTCCACAAAATCACCGTCATTGGTTAAATTTTGTTTTATACATAAATCTATGTAAATTAGAGTGAAGCCTGAAGAAGGGGATCTAATTGAAAACAACAATATTGTTCGCCTATTATATGTCTTGTTCTGAATATATTTGTGCATTGAAGTTATAGTAGCAATTTGGTTAAGTTTTGTGGGTGAAGTTGCTAGCACCACGCCCCAACCCTCCCTCTTTATTTGGGCTTGGGACCGGCTAGAATACTAGTGACCTAGTAATCTAGGCGAAGACTTACAAGCGAAAACCGACAAACTGGTCGAAGAAGCAGCAAAGACAGGACTCCAGGTGGTGAACATAGACAAAAAGGAGGTTATGAAAATAACCAACCAACAACAACAACAGCAGCAGCAACATCCAGCGCCAATCACCATCAACGGGAGGAATTTGAAAGAGGTTACTTCGTTCACTTATCTAGGGAGCATAGTCTCAACCACAGGAGGAACGGACGAGGATGTCAAATCGAGAATCGGGAAGGCGAAAAACACATTCATCAACCTCTAAAAACCAATCTGGAAATCTTCGTCACTCAACTCAGCATCAACAACAAAATTCGGATTTTCAATACACACGTCAAGTCAGTCACTTCTTCTATACTGATCAGAAACTTGGCGGGTCACCAAGAATATTTCCAACAGCCTGTTGCAGACCTTTATCAACAACTGTCTTCGTTCTATACTGAAGATTAGATGGCCGACGGAAAGAATCACCAACAAGAAACTATGGGAACAAACAAAACAAGAACCAATCGGCCAACAAATATGCAGGAGAAAGTGGAGATGGATTGGACACTCGCTGAGGAGGCCGTTGGGTGACATCGCGCGTCAGGCCAGTGCTCGAGTGGAAACCGAAATGGAAGCGGCGAGTAGGACGTCCAAGGGTAAGATGGAGGAGATCGTGTGATGAGGAACTGAAACAGTATGGACTGAGATGGATGCAAGTGAAAAGTACAGCAGAAGACAGAAGTAAGTGGAGGCGTGCAGTTGAAGCCCTATGTTCCACTAGGAACCCAAGGGAACAATAATAATATATGCCTTGTTCTAAATCTGATATCATAAATAAAAAATAGGGCTTAATAATAATAATCATAGTAATAATACTCTACCTACCCATAGACATGGTGGCACTCTTCATTGATAAGGCGGTTTCATCCCTTTGTTCCATATGACTACTTCCAGCATGACTACAATTCATCGTTGTATCATCCACTTGTTGATTTTGATACTGTTGGAATATCTGTTGTGGAGATTTTTCTCCGTCTCCGCCTTCTCCACCTTTGTCTCCGTCTCCACCTTCTTCTTGTCTTGATTCGAATTCATCGGATTTTTTTCTACTACGTTTTTTTATCTGATAATTAGTCAAGTCGGTAACAGGATTCACATTTGTCTGCTGCTCTTGTTGTCGCTGTTGTTCCCGCTGATGATTATAGTTGTGTGAGTTCATATTGACCAGTGAATATTGATTTGTGTGAATGAAGTGGTTGCTGCTGTGGCTGTTCCTGTCGCTGTTGTTGTTGTTGTTTCTGGTGCTGGTGCTGGTGCTGGTGGTCATGTTCTTTAAATTGTTCTAAATTCAAACTATTCCATAGTAGAACACGATTCATCATCAGATAAGATTGTAGTGATGATTGAGTTGTACTCAAATTTATCGAGGATTGATCATGCGTGTGTGTTTTATTTAATACATCTTTGTTAAAATAATAATCGGAAGTGATTTTATTTTTCAATGGATATATCGGAATATCGGAATGACTGTTATTATTATTATTATTAGTAGTAGTAGTATTACTATTAAATATTTCATAAGTAGTGTTCATCCTTTGGTGAGAATTAATTCCCGTTGATTTCGCGTTTAAAACAGTTAAAAAAGAATACTGAAAGATAGTTCGAATTTGATGATACGAATAGTTAGTTAGTTAGTTCAGCGCAGCAGCAACAGCAGTTGGGACAATTTAGTGAGAAGAGATTTTTTCAATATGTGGGGGCGGGGGCAGAGGTGGGGGGCAGGACGTGTTTAAGTTAAGTTATTACATTTTCCTGCCTTCTTGCTTTCTTTCTTTCATTCTTTCTATCTTTTGTTTTCTCCTCTTTTTCTCATTGGACGTGGCGTCCAGGTTTTCGAGACCAATCAAATCGAAGGAAAAGGGGGATGAAGTTGCGCGATATGCGATATATGCTGTGTGTGTGTGTGTGTTATACCCGAATCTGTCTTTGACATAGGGGTTGTATGTAAGAATACTTTTAGATGTCTGCGTCCCTGTAAGAAACAACAACGTGTTGTTACTGCTCAATAGAGATTAAGATACCATCACTGGATTGTTTTGCATTAAATTAAGCCAAAAATTTTAAAAAAAAACCAGTTTTGCAAAAACGATAAGGAAAATTTGTAGTTCTGATTCCGTTGACTCGGAATTTGACTTCTTAAAAGCCATGCTCGCAGAAAACGGTTACCACCCTAACCGATTTATTGACAGTAACATGAAAGATAAGATGAGCAGTCTAAACTGGTCACCGACTGACTCAGTTCCAAAGAAAACCCTATTTATGAATTTGAAATACAAAGGTGATGATCAAGCTTCAGATATGCTCAAAAATCGTCTCTCTAAATCAGTCAGTAAGACGTTCTATGCAGTAAAATTACATATGAAGTTCACTAGCCACAAGTTGTTCTCTACCTCTGTGAAAAAGATAACCTCCTCCGTCTGGCTTCCTCCATGTGCATCTATCAGTTCATCTGATCCTCTTGTGGAGCAAGGTACATTGGCCGTAGTCAGAGGACGCCGCCTTCCATCGCACGGATACGAGAACATATTCCAGCTTGGTTTTACAAGGGAGAAAGGAAGTGTGCGTGCGAAGTGCTCTGTTCTGGAGCACCTGATCGACTTCTGTCACTCCACACCAACCTTGACCATGATTTTAAGATCATATATAGAATCCATGCTAACTTGCCGGCCGCGTTTTCTTCGTTACAGACTTCTAAAGACAGCTGAGGTCTTGGCAATTCATGACTTTAAGCCAGCCAGCCAGGTCTTTGTGTACAAAAGAAGTATGTACAATCCTTACTTCTGCCTTGGCCGTAGAGGGATAGACATTCATTTATTTATTTTGTTTATTTAGTTATTCTACGTACTTTTCCCTTATTACTACGATTATTATTATTATTATTACTATTCTCACTCTGAACTGTTCCCACTTGACCCACTTGACATTTTAAACCCAAAATTATTAATTTTTATATTTTTTATTTTTAGAATATTGAATTCTATCTTATCAAATTTCTTACCATGTTATGTAACATTTTATATTCGTCTACTAATCTTATTATTATGTACCCCTTTCCAACATCTATACATCCATCTTATGTATTATTCTATATATGACATTAATTATTTTGCCACTTGGCATTAAACTATGATTATAATCACAAATATTTTAATTGCATTTCATACTATTATTATTTCATGTATTCACACGTTTGACCTAATTCCCTCATCGGATATATTTTCTTAAAATAAAACCATATGTGTATATACGATTGTACAGCTTGATAATAAATTTGTTGTTGAAAAGAGTCTCTTCTCTGAATATTGTATTCTTAATGCTACAATGGGAATTATTAAATTATTGAAAAACAACTGTGTTAAGTTGAATAATAATAAAGTTTTCTGTAGTTTGGTTTGTTGTAAGGGTTAGCTTTTTAGTTACAAACTAAACTATAGAAAAAATAAATCTGATGCTCGCTAGTGAGTGACCACTAGCGCTAGAGGATGGAGATTCCTGGAGTCAGTCAGTTCTAGGGAGAAGTCGTGACCAGTGCCAGTGAGGTGGTCCATCCAGATGTCCACCTACATACGACATTGGTTGGTGCCAGTCGCGTTAAATGCATCACGAATTGGTAGAAGTTAGAATTCATGCACTGGCTTGCCATTGAGGAGTCGGGTCCCAGTGAGTGCCTGAATGGTATACGAGCCAGCTAGCTTGCCTTGTAACCAGAAGGTCCTGGATTCGAACCCCGGTGGAAAGTGGTGGGTGCGTACTGTCTATGATTCCCAAACTAGGCTGATGAAACAGCTGGCTGTCCAGTACTCCACAACGCACCAGCTGGTGTTCAATCCACCTTCTCATTACAACTCCTCATTGATGATATCAATCCATTCGTGCGTGCGTGCGTGCCTGGTCAAGCTCGTAAAAACAAATCTAATCCTTAAAAACCAACTATGCGAATAATAATGATAATGTTAATAATATTAATAAAATAGATAGGTAGTGCAATGGCTACAGGCTTGTCGACAAGTCTGTGGGCGAATTACACACATGATGGATGGTTGGTGTATGATTGGATTGGTCTGTCTATTTGACCTAATGAGACTAAATATTTATTTATTTATCACAGGTGTGATGTGATCACAGTAAGTGGTCAGTTGGACTGCTACTACTACTACAAGTAATAGGAGTACTAGGAAAATATAAATGAACCCACCCAACACACACACACACCCTGGTAGACATGGTGGGAGGGATGACAAATAACTGGCACAGACAGAGAGGGGTGGGTGGTGGGTGATGAGTGGTCAATTATTATTATTATTATTATTATCAAATATGAAATACAGCCACAAAGCTAAAAATAAATTTACAAACGATTTAGAAGGTGGGGGGAGGGGACGGGGTAAATGTAGTGTAGTGTGATGCATTCTACTAGAGAATGAGGAATAAAACCCATATGTATATCTCGTCAGTGTGAAATGTTACTAAATTGAATGACAACAATTCAGTTAGTTCTATACATGAGGTCGAAAATGTAAAACCCAAAATTGAAACAATTTATGAGAAATAGAACAACATATCAGACAGCAGCAGACATGTCTGATGTTTAAGGCACTCACTCACCACTCACCACTCACTATCAATGCACTATGCACTACTGCTGTCTGTAGATTATACTTGTCACAATTTATGTTTAGCAATATTTGATCATATCGAAAATGGGGGTGTGTGGGGGGGTGGGGTGAAAATTGAACAAGCTTTGCAAACTACTACTGCATATCCTTGTCGTGAAATAACAATAATAATGATAATTTTATCATTTCATGATGCTTCCATGGACCTACTGAGATATCGACCAACCCAACGACGACGACGAGGATAAATTGCCAAGATCCCTGAAGTTTTTTTTTTTTTGGTGAAAACACTCACTATTCACAGCTGCTTCTTTCTGTATGTTGTATATCTACCTACACTGGTGTTTGTCAAGTAATTGATTGATTACACACTTGTAATTGCTTATAATTGCTTACCCACCAAGTGAATAATAATAATGCGTTTTTCTCTTAATTATTAAACCTTTCCAGACTTCTTCTTCTTACGGGAGAAACGCGCATATGTGTGTGTGTGCTCGGTGCACGCAGAGAGAGAGATGGAACCTACTGACAGTGACAGCAGTAACCGAGGTCTATCCATCATCATCATCTGTGAATCTTTTATCTCTCTCTGTACACATCGGAAATCTAATCCCCAATTTTTGTGTTTTTGTTTTTGTTTGTTTGTTTGTTTAATAAACACCACAATTTCCATCATCCATGATGTGAATCTGTCCTTCTGTTCCTTCTGTGTTTTGCAAAATGCGCGATTCTGTGTGTGTGTGTGGGGGGGGGTGGGTTCCAGTTACCAACAAACACACATGAGTAGTAGTAGTAATACGTGCGCTAAGGTAGGTAGGTAGGAAGGAATTCGGGGGGGGGAAGCAACAACTGTTCCGGGAGTAATTGCACAGCGCAGCGTCTGGGAAACTTTTTGTTTTTACGCGATTAGATGAACAGCAGATATAGCGCAAGGTGGCGTGTTCTATTCGACTGCGAACCGTAGGCATTCTGTTTTTAATTATTATTATGATAACCGTAGTTGCAGTGAGTTAGAAATCTAACAGTATAGGGGGGAGGTACAGTCTATCCTTAGGGGGACATTGTGACACGTAGAAATCACAACAAGCCAACTATCTCGCGTAGATTTATTTTCACTTTGTGATGATGATGATGATGGTGAACCGTGCAAATCAGTTGATGTGTTCTGCAAGGAGACGATAGATTACTCCAAAAACGCTTTATATAATCGCAATACCCCTCGCGCCCCGCCATCCACTCCATTCTGAGATTTGGACATATATGTACTTTATTGTGTTGACGACAACATGATCTTTTGTTGTACCAATAGGCTTCTCCACGCTTATCCACGCTTACACGTAGTATTTCAAAGATGGCCGTCTCATATTATACTCCCTGTTCCCCCCACAACTTACACAGCAGGGGCTAATTAATTAATATTCGGTCATATCAAGTAGAATATACAAACGAATAACGCGGAATAGATTTATCAATAATAATGAATTAACGTGTAATACGAAATCGATGACACTGTGGAAATCTTCTTCGTCTTCGTCTTCTTCAA